AACCATTGTGTGGTCCTCCTCATTGTTCTTCATCAGCAGTTCTTTCGGTCGATGCGTCGTCGACTTTGGAAAGCAACCGCTTCTGGATGAGTGTGTGAGTGCTGACCACGTTTTGCGTCCATTGCTGCAACGGACGCGCTCTGACCCTCGTTGGCGTACAACAATTTGCCATACAATAAAACTACTGGAAGCGGCTCCAGTTCTGATGGAGGAGGCTTTTTGGATAGCGGAAGATAAAGTGTTTATTGTGTTGTACCTTTTGACTATACACAGCAAAAAATTTTTTTTGATATCACGTCAAAGTGGATGCACTACAATCATGTCGAAAATATGGTGTAATATTACTTGCTAAAAAGGACAAAATTATCATTAATACAATGCATGAACTGACATTACGCTGCTTTTACTGCATTTGTTTATTTATGTGGTCATAAAAATTACATGAAATTTTCGACATGATTGTAGTGCATCCACTTTGATGTGATATCAAAATTATTTTTTTGCTGTGTATTTTTAAGATGTATTGTATAGTGACCAAGAATCCTCGGCTCTGTAAAGTTAATTCGGTTGAGCCTTATCTAATAAATTAATAAACAATAATTTATTGCATTTATTTACCTCTAACTTATTTCATCAACAGTATTCCGTAAAATGATGTATGAAGTTTTTGTAAGTTTTATGATTGGCTACAATTTTTGTTAACAATTCAAATTTGTGTCTCTTATGCATGATGAACCAGAGCGAACAGAACCCGCCATTGTTTTTCAGTGAAAGTAAATTACATTCACTGAAAAACAATAACATTGTATGGAGTGGGCAGAACGCTCTAGTTCGTCATGCATAAGAGATACAAATTTGAGATATTCGCAAAAGTTGTAGTTAATCATAAAACCTACAAAAGGTGGATACATCATTTTACGGAATACTGTTGATGGAATAAGTTAGAGGTAAATGAATGCACTAAATGAATGTAAATGATTTTACATGCCTAACGGCGCCGGTGGTGTAGTGGTAAGCGTGATTACCTCTCACCCCAGCAGGCCTGGGTTCAATCCCAGTCGGCGCCGCAGGGATGTTCTGAGGCATAACATCTCTGATCACGCCTTCCTTCGGATGGGAAGTAAAGCCGTTGGTCCCCGGTTCATGAGTTGATGGGTCGATAGGTAGGGTCCAGGTGTGGGAGCTGCCTTCCTGGCACGTCGGTAGAATTGGTGCTCAGCACGGAAAACAAGATCGACGGAAAAAACAAACCAAAGGAAAAAAAAAAGATTTTACATGCCTGTTCGGAACATGTCCGGATCTAGCCAACGTGGTCTTCAGTACTTAATATGGCCACCAATGATAATATTTTTGAATTCTCATATAATCTGATGTGTCACATGAGCGTGTTGGTTCAAGAAGATTATGGCCACTTCTCCGGGGTTACCCGAAACATATCCGGATGCGGATGCCAACATGGTTCTGACTACTTTCTACGACATTGGATGATTATTTGGTTCACGTATTGAAGGTTCTGGTTAATCCAAAATTACAAAAACTACAACTGAAATCATCGCATCGCGTTTTTCCAAAATGTTTAAAAAAACGCGTTTTAGTACAATTCCGCCTTTGCCGCAACGCGCTCATTATGGGTTGTCAAACGGATTTCAGGGTATTGAAAAATCTCTCTGTTGAAATGGGTTACAGAGTTTGACGTCACACTCTTTCAACCATTTAAACAGCGGCAGAACGAAAGAGACTACAAATTCAGTGGACCTTACCTAGGGGAATTTACGTATTCTCGTCAGTCTAAGCAGCGTCCGAACTTCTATTAGCGATTTCTCAGCGTCACACACATACATGACAGGTTTGTTTGTTGACATTTATCTGCTGCTTGCTGTTCTACCCATTCCAATCGACAGAATTGATCAAAACGGGTTGAACATGTTTTTACAACGCTCCAAACTTCTCAGGTGAGTGTGACTATTGTCGGCAGTCTCTTTTTCTTCGGCACCCTTTCCATTTGAACTGCGTGTTAACCAGCTGTTCTATTATCGGCAACTCGAAATCAGCCGTATTTTGTAGTGTATTAATATATTTAATTTAAAGAAAAATATGGCATAACAGGATTGCACAGTCGTAAAAATGTAATCTGATTGAAGCTGAAAAGTTAAGGAATCGGCTTAATACATTCAGCGAAGAGTTTTGATGGGAAAATACTGCGAAATTAACGTTTCAATTTCGGTTGCCGAAAACAGTCAATGGGTGCCGAAGCCATAATTTACCCTATTTACATCTCATTGATTGATGATCAGAAGGTCGATTTGACAGCACATCCCACCCCTGTGCTCGATAGGTAGACGGTTTGACAGTTCGATAGGTAGATATTGGTTTAAGTCTGCGTAACTCTTCTATTATAAACTCTGGCAGGACGGTTCTAACCAAGCAAATGCCCTTGCAAGGAGTATACGAAAGAACCTCTTTCCGAAGTTCATAACCTTAACTCCTGGTTACATCTTCAATGGTCTGTGACGCAGAACGTTAAAGGCTAGACCGGCAAGCCAACCCTTCGCTGCTGACGTCGTAAGATCGACGAAGATCCAGTCGTCGATACTATGGATTTATTTTACTTAACTCATTTAATTTTGTTAGAAATTTAGCTGAAAAGAAAACATGCATAAGTTCGCCAATAAACGCATTATCACTGGCAAATCACATGTCCTGGCATGCTTTGAAGATCATTTTCATTTAGAGATACAGGTATACCTCGATATAACGTAACTGTCACTTTTGACTATCATCGCTGATTTCTAGCTAACAATCATTAAATAAGACCGACAAATGAAATGGCCTTAACTCCATTTTGTAAACAAACCATTTTCTCGCGAATTGAAGTACGCAAAGGCAAACCAACATAATGACCAGGTAGGGGAAAATTCTCCTCTACCCGATTGTGGTTTAGGTTTGCGAATCAAGGTTTGTTTACAAAATGGAGTTAATGCCATTTTAATTGTTGGTCTTGAAATCATACAAAGTAATAAAACCATCGGATATATGACACAATCCTCCATCCACAGACAAACAGACGTAACTCTTCATTGTGTATCTTCGTTCACGCATTTAACGGTTGATTTGAATATTATCAGTTTCGCGAACTACTCGCCGCAGCGCTGGCATCGGATCACTTTGACGTTTCTATACATTCTATAGAACTTTTATGCAATATTGTTTGCAAGTTAGCGCGCAAGCTTGTTTTCCGCGAGAAGCCCGAGAGATGTCGTTACTGAGGTCATATGTTTTCAGAAACTATGTTTACAAGAAAAACTTTTTTAAAGAGTTACGTCTGTTTGTCTGTGCTCCATCTATTGGTCATGTCAATCTATATGAATTGTTATTGGTGCGATATAGACGATGGAAGTCAAAAGTGACAGTTACGTTATATCGAGGTATACCTGTAGTGACGAAAGCTGTTTTGTCAATATCGTCATGAACCGTTCCTAATGTCGGCCTAATTGTCCCTAATATTGGGCCCATACATAAATTTCGGAAGAAGGCATGTTTTGCCAATTTTTCACTAGCAACGAAAAATATCCATTTGTACTGCCCAGATGACGAATTGTTCTAAGAAAAATTGAAGAACAGAAGATATTCATCGACCAATCTTTAGATCCATAGGCCAACATTAGAGCCATTTTCCCTACCTTTCAAATTTTCAAGTCGTTACAAAATAAAGTAAGAAAGTGTATGGTAAATGACGCCTTCGGCAATACCTTTATCTATTATCGTCAGGGGGTAAAGAAAGTTTTTTAGCACTCAATTATGGCCAAACGATGCCCTGAAACATTATGTATCCTCCTGCACAAAAATTGAGCTTTAAATAACTTCATTCAATTCCTGCGGGGCTGTTCATAAACTACGTACACTCTTTAGGGGGGTTGACAAATATCTACGGTCCATACAAATTTCCAAAAAAAAAATGTATGGACGATTGTCTACACCGGGGGAAGGGGTTCACGGTCTACGTAGATTATTGACAGCCCCTGACTAAGTAAAAGTGTTGCCTTCGTTTACCCTACACTCATTTCTGTTTTCACCCCTTTTTATCAGCATTTTTGATCGTGTGATCTCAAATTGCAACCAAATTCTGTGCAACTTGTTTCGAAAATTCATAAAAAAAATCTAAGAAAAATATGGTGATATTGAAATGATTGTATTTACTCATCGTAAATGAGGACAAAATCGAAAAAAAAAATTAAAAGCGTAACTGACTTAATATCGTTTTCGAACAAACCGGATCTTCCATAAAGTGAGAGCAGTTGGTCACGTCCCCTAAAAACATATCCTCTGATAATTTTATGAGAAACTTGACTGTATGCACTATGAAATAAAGGCAAGCATTTTTTTTTAAATGAATTGAGGTTTTTTGTAATTTTACTGTACAAAAAGAAAATATTGTAATCGTAACGGATTTATCTAAAATACAATGCTGGTGTATCCCGTTACCCGTACCCGTTTGTAGCACGACTTGCATTCATCGCTCATTTAGATATCACAGGCTAATTAAATAAGTGACATTTGGGTAATTCATGTGTTCATGAGTTCTATATCAACTTTTTTTTTTATTATTTGGAATAGACCGTCATAATAATCGGCCAAGCTGTAGAATTATTTATTTGAAGTAACTTTGATGAAGAATCCAATTCTAACCATTAGATTCATGTTTTATATTAATTTTTAATAAGTAAGGGAATCGTGCTTACGTTGGACTCCGAAAGCTATATGAAAACGCTTATTAGATCTGTGTACCCGAGGCCTGGAAACGTGAAGTAGACGAATGAAACACGGATTATACCCATCACACACACTGCAAAAATCGGACGATCGGCGGGCTGGGCATGTCATATGAATGTCGTACGACAACCGTGAAAATGGTTCTCTAAAACGACCCGACTGAAACAAGACGAACAGGCGCGCAACGAGTAAGGTAGATCGACCAGCCATTGATCAAGTAGAATGGACGAAACGACTACCATGTACTGCAAAGGACAACCAAGAAATGGTAAGGTAAGTATCTAATGTTGTTTATAACCAAATATACCATGTTACAATATTATGTTAATATTATGATTTACCATGTTTAACGGTATCATTCATTCCGTTCCGTTGGTCGCTCCAAATCTGATATCATACCTCATAAACGGTCGCCGGAAATATGTAGCACTCATGGTCGATCGTGCCACGGCGAACTGTCCATATTTCCACATAGAATTTCCAGTCTCCAGCGAACGAGGGTGGCAAATTCAAACCGTACGTTCCGACGTTTACCATGTCGAATTGCTCAGAATGCTAAAGTTATAGTTAAGAAGCTGCCTACACACAGTGGCTTATCTTTTTTATACCTACCCCTGCGTTAAACGGACAGGCTTTCTTATCCAACATTTGAGTAACTTTATATATGCCAGGTTCGAGAGGATTTCCAATGATCTTACATAAATCGAAAATTTCTTTGGCAATTATACCTGGCTGCCAAGTTCCGCGCTCCAATCGTTTCGATGTTATTTTAATCTGAAATCGATTAATGAAAATTATACGACGGTTTTCAATACTTTTCAAGCACATAATGGGCAACCCTCCATGGTGAATTGAAGTCCTTCAGCATTGTTAAGCTTCCATTGTAAAACAGTGTACCATCGTCTTGGTTAATTATTTCGAAGTTACTGAAGTCAATGCTTACGAACGGCAGCCCATTGTCGCATTCCGTTATCTGATCGGCGACAAAGCTGTACTTTGCCTGAAATGGTCAATCAGTTTTGGATTGTTGCGTTTGATTTGAAATATAGTGTCTGTTTGTACCTGGACGGGTAAATGACGTGCGGTAAGAAGTATTAGAACTATTACAGGGATCATGACTTTATAGAACAAGTGAATGCGTCTAGGCTACCCAGAGAACTGCTAACGGTCTGGTTTTTGTCACAAACCTGACGTGCAATGATTTTCTGAGGCTTGAATTGCGTGATTGGAAAATATTAGGAAATGCATTGTACAGTTTTATCGAGGAATTCTGCGTTCACATGCAATGCTATGGAAATCAATTTTTTCGCTACTAACGATCTATAGAGAATATTTTAATGCATTGAAGGCTGCAGTATTTTTTTAATTTAAAGCGCTTTTTTTTTAATTTTGACCATTGTCTAAAATTGGTCCATCGGCATCTTATGTTTGACAGTTGCCAATAAAGGCAGATGCGATTTTTACAAAAATCAAAAAGTCTCTTTCAGTTAGCGAATATAAAGTGTAATGATACTCAACGGGATTGCTTGCTCGGTTAAGTGTTGGCAGCTTTTGTAAACAAATCAAATCACGTTGCCAGTCTGATAATATTTCCGCGAATCTCTGTATATTGGATTACTACTAAAAACCATCGAAGCCTTAAGGGTGAAAGTTTGCACTACTATCGATCCTATTACATGCCATACTTCCGGTCAATTGCCCCAAACAAATCAACAACAGGGACGAGTCTGCAGCAAACGTATCAAGAGTAACCGTTCCGGTGCGTGCTATTCGGACTGCTATTTTGACAACTTTGGTCGTTGATATTTTAAATGGTGTACATATTCGATAAAAATGGCACAACGCAAATCTTCTGTAAGTTTCGTATGGAGGCGAACCAGCCTAAGGCTGAAAGCCTCCTAAATAAAGCTAAATAATAATAATAAGTTTCATAGTGTATCTGTCAATTTTCATAGTAGTTATTCATACAGTAGTTCCAGTCATGTCGTCGAAACAAGAAATTGTCCGTGAAAAAAATTTGTGCTGTTACAATCAAAATCCAGAGGCGTCCCACCGATGGATCGCTTAAAATCATGGAATTTCAAATACAACTGTGTCTCGTGTGATAAGAATAAGAAGTTCGTAGAAGTGGTCCAATGGACAGTAAAATGGCCTCGAAAAAGGTGCAACAGTTCAAGGTGCAAAAAGCTCCAAACCGGAATGAAAAGCAAAACAACACTGCGAAAACCCGCGCCCGGAAATTGTACACGAAAATGCTCAACTTCCGTCAACTTCCTGGGCAAGAATATTTCGTTGCCAAGTCTAAGTATGCTGTTCCGGAGGATGTTCGAAAGAAGAAATTATCGAAATTTGCAAAGAAGTTCCTGATCTGGCATGCGATTTGCTGATGTGGTTAAATGAGCGCTCCCTTCATCACTTCCGGAACAATCAATGGTGCGATTTACACGTAAGAATGCTTTGGTTGGTTGGTTGGTTGTCTTTATTAAGGGACGAAAGAATGCCTTACGAAGCGTCTCTTTCCATTCATAAGGAAGCACAGAGGATCAATTCTGTTTTGGCCTGGTCTGCCACTACGCTCGAAACGTGTAGGAGTGGTACCGAGCCAATGGAGTCAATTTTGTGCCAAAAGATATGAACCCACCAAATTCACCGAAACTTCGCTCAATTGTAAAACTTTGGGCAATTATGAAGACGGAACTTCGCAAACATCCCAAAAATATTAAAACAAAGCTGGAGTTGAAGAAAATTCGGGTAAAAACAACAAAAACACTGGGAAAATCAATTGCACAAAATTTGATGTGTTGAGTGAAAAATAAGGTGCAAGCATTCGGGATGGGAGACGAAATTGAATAAAACAAATTTTGAAAATCATAACTCATTAGTAGTTTTTCATTCCCTGAAAATTTTAAGAAAATCCGATAATCGGTTTTGTTTTGGTGAGTAAATATGGGTGTGCCATTTTTATCGAATACACCCTTTAGTTAACAACCTGTTTGCACATCGGTCGCAGCTAAAGGGTGTCCCACATCAAATTGCATCACGGAAAAAACGCTGTAGAAAATTACCTAATTGACCGATCCTTTTCAAACGTTCAGACAATAAAATATAACCCATTAGTTAGCTTTTGGCATATTTATTTCATGCAACTTCAAACTCCACTCATTAGGTTCTGTACAACATCTGGCTGCAGCTTCTTCTGTACGGCACTTTTTCTTCATGACTTCCTCAGATTTGACCACATGCTTCCGTAGTACCTGCTTAATAATAGCCCAGTATTTTTCGATGTGCCTTAGTTCCGGTGCGTTGGGGGGGGGGGGGGGGGGGGGGTGTTCATGTCTTTGGGTACAAAAGTGTCCCCGTTGGCTTCGTACCACTCCAGGACAACATTTCAATAGTGGTACGAAGCTAGATCCGGGCCCTCGTGTTGTTTCAACAGAGGAATCAGACGCTTCTGTAGACACTCCTTGAGGTAGATCTCCCCGTTTACAGTCCCGGTAGTCACGAACGGCCACATGAGCAAAACGCTTCCCAAATCAAGTATTTCTTGGCAAACTTTGAAAGTTCCTACTTCCTTACTTCCTCCGGAACATCAAACTTGTGCTGGGCGGTGAAGAACAGTAGCCCCGGGGGCTGCCGGGAGTCCGCCTTGGCAAGTCTCATCATCCATGATGAGACAATGAGGCTTCGTCAGCATCTGGGTGTACAGTTTCCGGGCCCGTGACTTTCCCACCGTATTTGAAGCCTTTTGCACTTTGTTCGTATGCAGTCCCTCCCGGTCCTTGACTCTCTGAACAAAAGACTTGGACAAATTCAACTTTTTGGCCACATCCCTGACCGAAGCATTGGGATTCCGCTTAAACGCTTTCACGACACGCTTGTGATCCTGATCACTAATAAAACATCCATTCTGACCGCACGACTCATCGTTGACTACACGATTCCGAGTTGTTTTCCGAAGTCCCGGTGAGAGAGATGAGGATTTTCAAGGTGCTTGTGCAAAATCAATTCACGACGTTACTTTTCGGTTGACGCCATTTTTTCCAACTTTCGAAAAACTGACAGCGATAAAAATACAGTGTAAACAATACACTCTAAACTACTTCTACCCAAATTTTCAAGAGAAAATAGCCAATTGGTAATTTTCTACAGCGTTTTTTTCCGTGATGCAATTAAATGTGGGACACGCTTTATCAAGGTTGGAAATGTATGATTTTGACTATGATTTGGTTACTAATCGTAAAATTTCGAGCTGAAACTGATCGTTGAACTTTGTGATTTCTTCAAAAAGATTTGTAATAGTAATATAATAACAAATTTAGGGCTGTGATATAACTGTGGACCCAATAGATGGTCCTTCGGAAGATCCATAAAATCATCTTTGATCTAGCTCAAGATCCGTGTTTTATTTAAGGAATCACAAATTGTTGAGATACATAAATTAATTTGGATCTTGACCGAAATTTAGAACTAGAAGGCTATTAGACTGTCGTTCGAACCATCCGTAAATGACGCCAATTCCTAAAACTTATACTAGTGCTCAGCAATTTATTTTCATATAACTTGATATGATAATTTATGACTACATTTGAATCTTGGACCGGAATGTGGACCCTAGAAGCCACTAGATTGCCCTTCGGATGATCCGGAACACCCGTTAAAATGTGAATTGATGAAGCGAATTCAAGAGCATAGTGATTTCTTTTAAAATCCCGTCTAGTTGTTAAACATTAATTCAAATCTATAACCAGAATTTGGAACCTTGGGACCACGAAGATCCGGAAGATCTGGAATATTCAAGATAAATGGTCATTAAAATTCTGAAGCTCAGTGACTAAATAACTAATAGTAAGTAAGTTGGCAGCCCCGTAACGTGGGTAGATCACCTTTTCGTGGTACGTTACGGGATGCAAGATCTACCACCGATTCCTAGTCCTAACTACTTCAAACTAGGGGAACAGGATTTTTCAGTAATCCAAGGAGTCCTTGTTACTTGTTATGCCTTGTTGATAGTGACAAGACTCGGCTTTGTCCACCGAGGATGACTGACAAAGGGGCGCGCCTTTGGAGGGTGTTTCAACACTCCGAAGGGTATAAATAGCGGGACCTTTCAATTAGAGTCGGATCCTTGCGATAAATGCAAGAGTGGCAACTGTAAAAAAAATCGAATACTTCATCATTTCTCAATAGTGATGGAGTAATACGACATGCTACTGGTCGCAGTAGTGTTAGGTCCCGAACAGAGAAAAAAAAAGTAAGTTGGCAAATGTTGGGGTTTCGTGAGCATTCCTGACATTGCTGAAAATTATGATAGCATCAGATTGCGGGGTTGCTAGTGTAATAGGATGCTTTGTTGATTGTTCATCAACTCTTGATTGCTTGTAATAATTATGAATATTTTAGGTGGACTAAATGGCGAACTAAGAGGTGGACGCCTGAGCTTTTCCACATTTATATCATACACACTTAGTTTTTTCTACCGAGCTCGGCTATGCAAATCTCGGCAAAAAAAGTTTTGCTGAGATCTCAGCAAACATTTCATGGGTTTGCTGAGATTCAGCTAAGCTTTTTCCGAAAGTCAGCAATCAAATGTCACTTTTGCTGAGATCTCAGTGAAACTATTTGCCGAGATTTGCACAGCCGAGCTCGGTAGAAAAAACTAAGTGTGTAGCGTAGCGTACGTACAAGTGATTTAAAAGAAATCACGTTGCACAAGAATCCGTTTCAATACTTTACTCACTTTTTCGGATGTTCCGGTTCATCCGGGAGAACTTCCTGTGACCCAGAGTTGATAGTTCAGCTCCTAATCAAAATCACTAATCACTCTCATATCATGAATGCAAGTGATATTAAAAGAAATCGAATGATCCGTGTCTTCCGGAAGACCATCATGTGGTCCCCGAATCCACTAGTCCACTGTCCAGTTCCAGATCAAAATTCATTCAAACGACATCAATTAAACTCATTTCAAAAGAAATCAAGGAACTCTTGGATCAGAGCCCCCCACTGAGGCAAATAAATTTAAGTATTTATTAAGGCTCGACTTATGAACGAAACCAAGGTTGCAAATACTCATTTCAGCTAAAATAATGTTTTTCAGAATAATAAAACCAAAAGATGGTATGATGGCATGTTTTACTTGTAACTTACAAGAAGAGGTTACAAAGTATGCGTTTGAAACATAAAACCTGTAAATTTTTTCTTTCTATGAGTCACAATCAGCGGTTTGCTGATCGCTGAGTGAGTGAGTGAGTGAGTGTGTGAAAAATCGCTGATTGTGACTCTCATGAAGTGAAATAAACAGGTTTAATATCAGAGTTGGTTGGAAATGCTAACATGAAGCTTTAGTATGATAATTTATTAGCTAGTGAATGATCTTTAGAAGAGGGTAGGTGGATAGTTCCGTTAGAGTACGGTAGTATGAAAATTGAATAGAAGTTGAAAATGAGCGAAGGGCCATTAATGCGACAGTTTTTAAAGATAGACGCACATCTTTTGCCTAACCCGTACGATGTACGCGGAGACTTGAAGTATGTCTCCAAGTCTACAGGCAAAAAACAAACACTTTGAATGTAACAACTCAAGGCGGGAGTAACCGTCAACAATGCTGAGGATGGTACAGCACGCAACAACCACCCTACTGTCTTCTCTCTGAGATGACCAAGTTGGTCATGACGAGAGGAGCAACACAATAGTTGGGTAAAGAAGAATTGCATTATAACACACCATCGACTGGAAATGCTCTCGCAACGTGGGGCTTTAGGTAGTGATGAAAACGTCGCTAGAACTATTCCACAGCCGCAGTCAGTTTATGAGCAAAAGAGGGGCGCACATTTTTTGCCTGTAGACTTGGAGACATACTTCAAGTCTCCGCGTACATCGTACGGGTTAGGCAAAAATGTGCGTCTATCTTTAAAAACTGTCGCATTAATGGCCCTTCGCTCATTTTCAACTTCTATTCAATTTTCATACTGCCGTACTCTAACGGAACTATCCACCTACCCTCTTCTAAAGATCATTCTCTAGCTAATAAATTATCACACTAAAGCTTCATGTTAGCATTTCCAACCAACTCTGAAAATCGCTAACTTCGCGTATGAAGTAACATAAAAAACACTTTGAAGGTTTAATATGTCAAACACATTCTTTGCAACCTCTTCTTGTATCCTACCAATTCAAAATATGATCATGGCATCTAATTATCTCATAATTAAAAAAAACATTGTTTTAGCTGAAATGAGTATTTGCAACCTTGAACGAAACTTATGTATTTCATAAGCGTGACTAATGAATGATTTTCGTCTATCATGAGTTAGCTCTAATACATGTTTAACCATTTAATTTTCCCAAGCGTTGAAAGACGTGGCCAACACACGGGCCCCATATTCTCAACGGCCATGGTTCGGTTCCGGTCTGCTCCGTTTTATTATTTTTTTTGTCAACATTATTTTTCATGTGGGCTGCAGCTCGCTGCTTGCAGGCAGCATTTCGTTGTGTACTGGAGAACACCACGCGGTGATTGAATAAACACCGTTTGGTGAGACCGGATGGAATTCAACTTTGAAATCTGTGTTAGGGAAATCGCTTTTCGCAGGCAATCGGTGATAATTTTAATTATCATAGCAACAGTTACACATTCGTGCAATTTTCAAGTGGCATTTTGAAAAATGATAAAGTCTTAAATTTAACAGATGCGTAGAAATATTTATGTTCGATTGATGATAAAATTATTGAAATTGGTCCAGGGGCAGCTGAGTTATTAACGTTCAAAATCTTTCATAATTTTGTTACGTGTCCCATTTTCGGTTTTCACAAAGTGTACCCCCATTTAGAAATCACAGACGAAGTCCTACGTCAAAAGTTGTCGATACAAATACACAAATAATAAAGAATCACCAATAAGGTAACCAGGCTCTCCATGTATATTTTATTAAATGTAACCAGCGATAAATTTATTTATTCAATTTTTTTACCTTCTCCTACTCCTCCTCCAATGTGGATGGTGGTGTACCCACGTATTCAAAGATACTTGCGACTGTGACGCTATCCGTTTGACAGCTTAACGACGTGTTCGGGGTATCATCCAAACCATGTGTAGAATAGTTTACCCATCCGGGATACAGTTCGTTTATGGTATTTGTTTATTAGGTAGCGCTTTATTGGGTCCAGCCAACCATTTAAATTTGCTGTTTTTGAGTATAACATTGGTTTGCCGATCATGATCCAGCGATCCATTTTACTGAAATCTCAAATTTGGTGTGTCTGCTTTAAAATTACCTTGGATTTATTTTCTCCCGAATTTTCTGGAAATCTACATTGAAAAATAATCAGTGACGTCTGCGGATATGTTGATAACAATCTTTCAGGATTTTTATCATCAACATTACACATTTGAAACACTCATTTCTCGTGTCAAACCGCACACACAGCCAAGTCACATTTATACTTCTCCTCCTCAACTGGCATTGATACTTAGTTAATCGAAAAAAAATCATTCATCAAGATTGTCCTTAGGGTGGCACACATGCTCCTACATCCCCTAACAAGAACACATTTGATATGTACGCATTGCGGTCCCGATGGAGCAGTTCCCCGTCAACTGACGAATTGATTTTATGTTTCTCTCTCTGAATTCCATCAAACTTCGCATAATTGTTCACTAG